AAAAAAATCAATACTAATAGTGCATGTCAAAGACCTCAAAGAAGCATTTTGTCCTCCAGAAAGTCTTTGTTCTTTTACACCATAATTATGAGGAAGCAGAAACCACTGGAATGCTTTCCAAATTTAGTTCACCATATTACTCCAAGGATGTTTTCAAGAAAAATTTTAATTATTCAATATTAATGCAAAAATGAAGAAATGGATGACTGACAAAATAGAATTTTCAGTCATGGTTTAATCAAAATATTTTCAGATCACTTCTTTCATTCTTTAATCCACCTTAAGTGAATGTTGGCATGTGATAAGTAAAAAATCATAGTATTAAGAACAACATGTTCTTCATGTATTTTGTTCATAAACCACAACTGTCTTGTCCTGGCAAATCTCTTAATGAAAAAGTCAAGCAATCATGAAATGTTTTGACTGTTGTACTGAGAAATTTTTCTCAGGTTGAGTGCTAACAGTGGGTAGAACATACAATTCACACTCCTATTATCTCCCACCACTTACCCTATCCCCTCCAGACCTGAGCAGCTACAGGCAGCTCTATAGAAGACAGTCTTATATCTCTGAGTTTCCCTCTCACTATATACAGAGTAAACATAAATAAAGAGCTATCAAGTCATTACATGCTAGTTTTGTCAACAAGACTGGCCATTTATGCAGATCAATCTTCAAAGAATAAATATACCATAGTGTGCATCCTCACAAATAAACATATTCAATATATTCTCTCTTGTTTAGTCACATTCCAAAGACATAAATATTTTTAGCAATTCTAATAACTCTAGCAAGAATGGACCATATGTTTTGCTGTTTGTATTTATTTCTTCTACAAAGGTAAAAACAATAATTAACATACATTTCAGGGGCTGGGGTTGTGGCTCAGTGGTACAGTGCTTGCCTACCATGTTCGAGAACCTGGGTTCAAACCTCAGCACGACATAAAAATAAATAAATAAAATAAAGGTATTGTGTCCAACTACAACTAAAAATTAAAAAAACAAAACAAAACAAAACAAAAAACATGCATTTCAGACATATCAATACCCACACTTCTCAAACATACATGGACAAACCAGTTTTAAACAAAACATTTAAAATTAAGAACTATAGGACTGGGGTTATAGATCAGTGGTAGAGCGCTTGTCTGGCACATATAAGGCACTGGGTTCGATCCTTAGCACCATATAAAAATAAATACTTTAGCCGGGCGCAGTG